GTTTAATTTGATGAACATCATTAAGCGTCAGTTTTTCACATTTAATGGTTTTCTGGTCGATGTCTTGCTTAGAAAATAATTATCTCTTGCTTAAACTGCCATTGTATTTGTTAAATGTCACTTGCAATTAAAGCTGATAATGCTACAGAGAAAAGGTCACGTACCAACCTGTGCGCTCGAGTCGGACTCTCGGGCCGATTCGCACAACCTTCTTGAAAACACCGAGCACTCTGTCACACTCCTAACTGGCTGACATGTTTTTCTATTCATTGTGCTTTCAATTACTCACATTACACTGATTAGATTTACATTTCAGTTTTTATGGTTTCTCTAATTGGCAAAGATGATTGCAAATTATGCAAGAGGGCAAGCATGGCCTCGGCTACTGTCAGTCACCTTGAAATTGAAAGGCTAACACATACTTGGGTTCTGTGTACCCATTAATCTGCTAATTCCATGTAAGGGTGGATCAAATTTAATAGGGTGCCTATTTTGTCCAGCAGCACCCTTTTTGACATGGCATTTTGTGACCTCTGGGCTGGATAACAGACTCATTTGTGGTTAATTAGCCTTGTGGAGTTTGCATCACTCATATCTTTCTGTGGTTTGTCTAATTGTTCTGCTGTGTTTCGTGACTCTTCAGGCCTCAGTACTACAAGGTGATAGAGGAGTGTGTGTCTCAGGTGGTCCTCCATCGCAGCGGGATGGACCCAGAGTTTGTCTATAATAAAAGATTGGACGTGGACTTCACCCACATGATTGGTAACTTGTTTCATAATCATTTGTTGCTAATTACACATCCTGTAAGACGGCACAGCGATGCAGTGGTTTGAACTGTGCCTGTTATGTCATATGATATGATGTGTGTTGACAAACAAAATCTAAATGTTAATATATGAATAAAAAGTCACCTTTACTTAAGGTAAAACAAGAACCTTAAGTAAAGGTGACTTTTTTTAGATCCTGTGCTTCAGGAGTTATATTCATTATTCTCCCAGATCCTTCGTCTCACATCTCCAGTGACTTGTCATAAGATAAGAGGGTCATTTAATTATTAGTTAACTGAATCCAGTTCATTCAGGAAGAAAAAACCCTGTTAGACTTGCTTGTAGTCTTCCAGTGAAAACATCTATTTGCACTGTATTACTAATGGGCATCTTTTTAAACAGCGAAATAAATAACACCACTTTGTGTCTCTCAGTTGTGTCACCAACAGTTCTGCAACTTGCCAACAAAGGGTCATTAAAAGTTTCTAAATCTCTGCACAGAGGATCGGTGCAGTAAAGACGTTTTTTTTCCTTCTCAGTTCACTTGGATTTAATCAAGTAATTTTAAAAAGGAAAAAAAAAATCTGTTTTTCTTTTCACGTCTTTATTTAGTTTTTGAAAGGTGTCTATTCACTTGTGTTTTTATCCACATTCACCACAGGTTTTTCATTTTCTAAATGAAAAATGTGTAGCTAAATATGTGATTTAGCAAATAATTAACGCCTAGAATTTGCACTTTTGCTGCCTACAGGGCAGATGTAAAATATGGGATTTGTAAAGGCAAAGCTAACACAATACAATAAAAGATAGAGACGTCTGATTTGATCCATATTTATATACTCTGATTTCTTTCTTTTTGTTTCGAGGCACATACCCTTAGGCAACAGATAGCTAACAGTCGGTGTTCTTGTTACAATAAAACACTGATGTTAATAAAGAAGTGGAATAGATGAAGGGGTGAGAGATAAGTACATTTGCTAATCACCCAAGAACCAAGAGTTGCACAAGGTG